GTGGTGGAAATTTTACATTTTCAGATAAAAATACAGGGTCAGAAATAATTTTGGGAGAACGTTATGCAAACATGAAACTCTAGTGCCGTATTGATCGCTAAGCTCTTCATATTTTACAGCAACTTGGTGGGTTCAAGTGCGTTTTGTGGAATCTCAACGTAACAAGGATGCTCGTGGCAAATTTTTATGAAAACGAGGAACTTTTTTTCTTTCTTCATAATTATTCTTTATCTCCTCGAACGTCTCTGGCTTACATCTACTCTGCCACGGGACAGAAGGTGTCCAGATGCAGACGGGAGGAATCCAGATAGGCATGGCGGGGCATTTGTACAGTGAAGCATAGCTACTGTGTACCACCCCCTCCACAGACATCCATCTATTTATACCAGGGCCAAGGGGCAGGCAGCGGGGGGGAGAAGGGGGAGGACAGGGCGGGGGGTGAGGAGGAGAGGCTGCATGGGCAGGTCCTGTTACACATGCCAGGGGCAACGACTGGAGCGAGCCGCAGGGGGACTCTGCTCAAAGTCAGACAGGCTGACCTCTTCATCACCTCTGCATGAGGCAGATATTAGGCTTGCAAACCATGTGCAAGTGTGTGTGTGTGTGTGTGTGTGTGTGTGTGTGTGTGTGTGTGTGTGTGTGGCAAGAAGTGCAGAGTTTATGGGTGTGTGAGCTACACATTCAAGCATGCGCTGCTGTGCTGCACGTGTAGAGGTATGTTGCATCAACATGTGTCCTTACACGTATGATGGAGTGTGCACGCTTACGTTCATGGTGCAGCTTGTGTGTTTGCCTGTCAGGCTGTGAGATAAACTGTCCCAAGTGACTTACCCCTCCGTTCCCCCAGCAGAGCCATAAACATGCCAGGAAAAGAGGCCAGGATTAGAGAGACTTAGCCGATCCTAGAGCAGCCCTGCAGCCTTATCTTGTAATGTAAAAATGCCACCCTGACGATTGCAACGACGGGCAGAGCAGCAGGGGGCGGGGTGGGTGTGTGTGCTTGGACCGCACAGTCCAGAACTTCTCTCATCTCTAACCCACAATACACACACACACACACACACACACACACACACACACACACACACACACACACACACACACACACACACACACACACACTGACACAATTGCATGCACAAGCACCCAGAGAGGACACAGATCTGCACAAAATACAGAAGCATCAACATGCTGCCCCATTTTCTCATGAATCTGAGCTGAATAAACACATGAATGTTAAGAGTCCTTTGTTAGTAACTGGTGCTCCAAGGTGATTTTTATCATCAGCTTTTGAGATGATATTCAGACAACACAAATTCATTCAAGCAAATTGTTTGTGGTTGGGAGTTTCACAGTGCTTCACGGGACTGATCAGCTACACAATCACGCTGCATACAACAGCATTTCATAGCATTAAGATCTAAACAGAACACGGTGACTAAAAGTGACAAGGCGGGATGGTTTCAGCAGGTGGACGTTCGTCTGTGACGGTAGAACAACTCTGCTGAACCACCGGGCAGATTTGAATAAAGTAGTAATGATTGGATGAACATCTGCAGCTGATTAACCTTTGGAATCAGCTCGATTCAAGATTGCTGCTAAAGTAAATCAATCTTATCAGGATGAAAAAGGAAATAACTCAGCTGGTCTTACAGATACGGAGCTACAGCCTCGTGGTAATAACTGCACCTTCCTTCTAATAAGCAGATTTTAGGTTAAAACTATGGAAATGAAGTTTTAGTCTTAAAGACTACGCCTCGATCGCTTGCCGTCATTTAATTCAATGATTTGAAACATTCACCTGTTGACCACAGACAGAACCAGACTCTGTTATGTGCTCCTCATAAATGGTCCTGCTGCTGCACTTTAGTTCCACCTGTTAAGTTCCTCTACTATAAATGACCATTAATAAAATCTATTTAGAACACTTTTAAATCGATTCAGAAAGCTTTATGTCCACATATTATTTAGAAGCAGAAAGCTCGTTGATATCCTTTTTGAAGATGCAAATCTTAGACTTAATAATCGTTCAGCTTGTTCTTCCCACTTTGTTCTTCCAACACAGAAAATAGGACCCAGTGGGTCCACCGCCGTTTGGCACAGCTGGGTTGCCATGGGCTGTGGAAAATGAGGACACATTCAAGTTCTTTCATCTAAATATTTAAAAAGTTCACTGACAAAAAATAATTTTTAAAAATAATCTGTTTATAACCAGTCAGTCTGAGTTTTCCATGCAAACCGAACATGAAAATAGTCTCCTACACCTATCTCCTGCATTAGCTTCTGATTGAAAATAGACAATGAAACTCTAGGATTTGAAAAGCCTGACAGATCTATGTCACCCTGTCACCTAACACTCATGGACTCACCCATCTTGACTCATGAGGGGAAGGCTGTTGGCTTAGCGTTCAGGAAACAGAACATCTCGGCTAGTAGAAGCTAACTGTTAGCATTAGCAAATCCACCACATGGCAGAACTCCTCCAGGCTTGTGTTGCTTGTGAAGATTAAACATCAATAGTGCAGAGCAGAGTCAGTGGTAGAGTTGTGTTGCTGTTAGCCAATCAGAGATGAGATGTACAAATATAAGGAAATAAGACTCCAAATCCTGCCGTCTGAAGCTACTTTCTCTAATATGTATATATATATATATATATATATATATATATATATATATATATATATATTTATATATATATATATTTTTTTTTTTGAAAAGGCACAGAAAGGTAAGAATACATGAATCAATAAGTGGTTATAATGTGTAGGGGAACCAGCCAACGAGGGGCATCTGTTCTGCGTCCCTAGATGAGCTGCTAGTGACCTCCAGGCCCTCTTGTCATTAACATAGCTCTACAGTCCCGCTCTGCTTTAGGGCCCCTCTCGTTTGGGCAGCTCCCCATCACGCTGCATCTGTTGCCAGCTATATTTAGAGGCTGGAACAAATACCTTTCTGCCTGGATATGAGCTTGGGCTCCCAGGCCAGAGGGGCTGGAACGAGCAGAGATTGGTTTGCTTTGTAACCTTGAAGACTTCGTTAATTCCAGACCATCACCGAGTAAAGTCAGCAGTTCCACCTAGACGCCGAGGCTTTAAATACAGCTCCTTTAACCGCAGTTGATTTGGCAGCAGCTTTAGTGCCAGCACCTACAGTTCCATGAGAGCTGCCAGAGAGCAGGGGATATGTAGAAATGTCCTAAAGATATTTAATGGTTTTCCTTCAGTGAGTTATGGAAACATAATCATGTATTCCCGTGGCTACCAACCTCCTTTAAACTAAGCTAGATTTCTGCCTAAAAGCATGTGTGTGTGTGTGTGTGTGTGTGTGTGTGTGTGTGTGTGTGTGTGTGTGTGTGTGTGTGACATGTGACCATGTTGCATGGCCATCTGCTCTATATAACCATAAACAAACGCAGGCCAAGCAGCATCACAGTATCATTTCCAAGTGGCCCGGGCTGGGTGGATGTATTCATGCTGTAGTCTCCGGGTAGATGCAGGGGCGATATGCCCCAGAAACCAGTCATGCTTATGCAATGACATTCATAATTCATTCCACAAACACAATATGGACGCCACTCAGTCCCATATGCAAACACATGGGCAGATTATGGAGTGAGTAGCCAAAGGGTGCGTTCTGAACTGCCAACGGAGCTCCTGTCTCAGTGAGGGCTGGTCTGTGACAGGCCTAAATAGGGCCAGCTATTACAGGATGCACCAGACACGACAGCTCAGAGACATCATGGGGTAAAGCTAAAAGCTATTAGGAAGTTAAAATGGTTTGGTTTAATAAAAATGTAGGTGAGTGTCTCTTTTGAATGAGTCACTTCATCAGTTAAAGCAAAGATCAGACACTTATGTGAGGTTTTTCTGGTTAGATGAGAGCAGGAGGATCATCATAACATCTGCACATGTAATCAAATGCCTGACGCATTCCAGCTAGTCTCTCTAGCTGGAGGTTACAGGGTGGGGCCCGGGGTGAGCAGGTTCATAAACTCAGCATTTGGGTTGCAGACAGGTAAGGAGAGCGGAGGGGAAACCTTCACACAACCAGATCCAGCTAGGCTTGTCCAGGTCGGATGGGTGGAGGAGGCCATGCAGCTACTCGGCCTGTGCCTGCACCCCGAGTGCTCCGGACCTGTTTATGAGGCCAGAGGATTTTCTAGACAAAGAAGCAGCTCGATAATAAAGTAAACAAAAAAATACAACCTGCAAAGTATTTTATCTTTTTTTTTTTTTTAGCACTGGAGCTCTGCTTTTCTCCTTCTGTTTTCAGTGTATTTTAATTCGCTCCTTGACCCAGCATCCAGTCACACACACTTTCCCTCTCCCGCTTTACTCGGTCCCTCTCCACCGGCTACCTGACTTCCTTGGCAAGCGATACACAAAATGGCGGCGGGTAGCTGAGAGCTGGAAGGCACAGAGAGGAAGCCATTTTCTAACAGATCCCGGACCAGGCACACTCACACACACACACACACACACACACACACACACACACACACACACACACACACACACACACACACACACACACACACACACACACACACACACACACACACGAGAGAGAGAGAAGAAGGAAGACTTCTCTAGTGGACAATAAAGATTAGCCTGAAAGTGTTGGGCTGTGTGAACTGAAGACTCTGTTTATTTCTGTGTCATAATGTCCGTGGCTTATATTTCCTTTGGACCACTTGGCTTAAAAAAATAAAGATAAAGCCACAAAGTCCAGGAGTTTGACTGAATCCAACTCGAGCAAACGAGAAAGAAAACACCTCCACGGACCAGGAAAAGGCAGAACACAAACACAAAACCTGCTCTAATTACCGACCCTATCCAAGGGTTGCAAGTCACAGTTTATCTTCACATTACAGCATTTTTAATTTCCATCACATTATGCTGCTTACAGTGCTGCTTTGATGGCCGCTCTGTTGGTTCGTAGCATCACTTGTTGGTAAAACGTTCCTGCCAGGGGCCACAACTCCATCTCAGCGCCTGCAACAGGAAAACACAGATAGCAAAACAATCAAGAGACGATTTACAGAAGCAAAAACAATAAAGATAAGCAGAAATATGGAGCTGGAGAGCCTGTGGCAGGAGCAGAGGGGCTGTGGGGTCCTCTCTTCCTAGCCTGTTTGCTAATAAGCTCGCCCTGCAGCTTCGCCTGGCCAAGCAAACTCATTAGCAGAACACGCAACACTCAGCACCCTCTCTGCCAGCCTGTGGTGCGGGCCAACTCTCGCTGCCGCGCGCTCGCCCAGCACCATCACACTGGCTCTGCCGTGGCCTTGCCCAGATTCACCCACTCGCTGCGAGCGTGCACACACTCTGGCACGCCGGATCACTTAAAGCCTACAGTGTCATGTGCGTGGGTGAACCAGAGCATCTGCATGTACTTGTGAGCAGGATGAGTGACTTTCTGCACATGCGGCACCACTAGTTCTGTTTCACATGAGGATGTGTGTAGAACGTACGTCATCTCGCGCACATGCACACAGTACAGTCATGTGGAGGTGGAACTGCACAAAAAAACAACAGAGGTGGTTAGTGATCCAGTTCAATTTGCAGGAAAAGTGGAGTGCGATGGAGAACCAAGAGAGACGTGAACGGTGTCCTCCAGCAGACCAAGGAGGGACACTCCCAATTAAAGGCATCAGCTCGCTGTGATGGCGGCTGCTGAAGGGCGATAATTCTCCACAAGGACACTGATCGCTGTACGGGACGCGGCGATGCCGGGGAATGGTCTCTCACATTTTGTTTCAAACATTGTAGTAACAGGCAGTGCCTTGGACTGCTGCCAGCACATGTTTATGTGCTCATGAGTAACCAAACCCCTCCAGCCCATGGAGGGAGACGCATGTCCGAGCCGTGCACCCGCCTGAGTGTGGTGTGTTGTTTGTGTGTATGCATGACTCATGAAGCCTGGGAGAGTGTGTGCACAGGGGATAGGCCTCAGTATATCGGCTTATATCACATGGAAGGCATCGATAATCGACAGCTTCTTTACTGTAGCAGCAAACACAACAAACACAAAGGGAATGAGACAAAGGAAACTAGGATGCTTCACTGGGCAAAAATACTTTATCCCACTGCTAAGAAAGCGATGAAGAGGAGGAGAACTGAGGGAAGGGATTTACTGTATTTTGATAGTTGACGAGTTGCAGGCGAGCCTTTTCAACACTTCCAATTTTACCTTCAAGTGGAAATATGCTGCTGATTTAGCTGTTTTTCTCCTCCGACTAAATTGCCTTGGCGACAACGGAGGCCAAAAGCTGAAGAAATATACGAGTGCTGGAAAAGAAAAGTTGAGCGGACGCAGCTCAGTTTTATCTGGAATATCGCTTCTCTCTGGCAGGTACATAAAACAAGTATCTGTCCTGGATATGGTGAGAGACCAACACGTAACGCTGCCGACCTATAGGCTGACGTGTGTCCAAAACTCATTCTGAATGTGGTCAAAAAGGGCAAAGAAAACACACACTTCCCGTTTACATGAATTCATTTGATTAGCCGTCAGTCAAAGCTCTGACAAACTTCCATGAAAAACCTGTTTAAACGCTCAGTTTTCAGGAGTAAGAGCCAGAAATGTGTAACCCAATCATCCCAGGACCCCTAATCTCAGTCAAAGGGGCCGTGATGTAAAGCAGAAAGCTGCACAGGTCTTGTTTCAGAGCATATGGGGGGAAAAGAGGGATAGGTACGGCGAGGGAAAATCTACCTCATCTGTCACCCTGAAACTCTCCCCTTGTCCAATATTATGTCATTATGACCGTCTCCGTGGAGTTCCTGTGGTTTGGGGGATAAATTACATGTGACACTCCCAGCTGACATCCTGATTAACACTAGGAGAATAAAACAGCCGATTCTGGGCAGTCACCAGGGTAATGGACTAATGGCTTCCATGTACGCTGAGAGGGAGCAGGCTTAAGGACACACCTGTGAGAAACGTGTGTACGTCTAACAGCGTTTACTGAGCCATGAACAGTTAACTTTGTGCTGCAGTTCTGGTTCTTCTGCAAACAAATGTGAGAATGCATGTGTGTGTGTGTGTGTGTGTGTGTGTGTGTGTGTATGTGTGTGTGTGTGTGTGTCTATGCATGCGCGTGTAAATGTGTTTGTGTGTGTGTACTTGTAAGTGTGCGTGTGTGCATGTGTTTGTGTGTGTGCATGTGTGTGTGTGTGTGTGTGTGTGTGTGTATGTGTGTGTGTGTGTCCATGCATGCATACATGTGCTTGTGTATGTATGTGTGTTTGTAAGTGTGCGTGTGTGCATGCATGCATGCGTGCATGTGTGTGTGTGTGTGTGTGTGTGCTTGTAGTGTACGTGGGTGCATGTGTGTGTTTGTGTGTGTGCATGTGTGTGTGTGTGTGTGTGTGTGTGTATGTGTGTGTGTGTGTCCATGCATGCATACATGTGCTTGTGTATGTATGTGTGTTTGTAAGTGTGCGTGTGTGCATGCATGCATGCGTGCATGTGTGTGTGTGTGTGTGTGTGCTTGTAGTGTACGTGGGTGCATGTGTGTGTTTGTGTGTGTGTGTGTGTGTGTGTGTGTGTGTGTGTGTGTGTGTGTGTGTGTGTGTGTCTATGCATGCATGTGTAAATGTGCTTGTGTATGTATGTGTGTTTGTAAGTGTGCGTGTGTGCATGTGTTTGTGTGTGTGCATGTGTTTGTGTGTGTGCATGTGTTTGTGTGTGTGTCCATTTATGCATACATGTGCTTGTGTATATATGTGTGTTTTTAAGTGTGCGTGTGTGCATGCATGCATGCGTGCATGTGTGTGTGTGTGTGCTTGTAGTGTACGTGGGTGCATGTGTGTGTGTGTGTGTGTGTGTGTGTGTGTGTGTGTGTGTGTGTGTGTGTGTGTGTGTGTGTGTGTGTGTGTGTGTGTGTGCATGTATGTGTGTCTATGCATGCATGTGTAAATGTGCTTGTGTGTGTATGTGTGTTTGTAAGTGTGCGTGTGTGCATGTGTTTGTGTGTGTGCATGTGTTTGTGTGTGTGCATGTGTTTGTGTGTGTGTCCATTTATGCATACATGTGCTTGTGTATGTATGTGTGTTTTTAAGTGTGCGTGTGTGCATGCATGCATGCATGCATGTGTGTGTGTGTGTGCTTGTAGTGTACGTGGGTGCATGTGTGTGTGTGTGTGTGTGTATTGTGTGTATTTTGTGTGTGTGTGTGTTTTTATTGTGTGTACTGTGTGTGTGTTTATTGTGTGTACTGTGCGTGTGTGTGTGTGTGTGTGTGTGTGCGTGTGTGTGTGTGTGTGTGTGTGTGTGTTGAGATCTTGTGGCCTCTTTGTCCAGCTCTCCCTGTCTCTGTTCAGACCCAGCTTACTGGCGAGTCTGCCACAGCCTTTAGTGGTCACTGTGGATCCACTCATGTGCTCCTCCATGTTCACAGCCCAGGAGAGGGGAGGGGCCGGGGCAGAGGGAGTCTGGTTTGTGTCCCACTGGTCTGACTGGACTGGAGCAAAAGACTTCAAACTTTAGTTTTACAACAAATTTGACAACCAGCTTAAAAAATAGTCACCTCTGATTAGAAGAAGAGTCTAACGATCATCTAGACCTCTTCCCATCTAGGGCCATTTGCTTCTCCCTGCTGCCTGTGCTGCTTCAGACGGTGTGTGAGTTTCTAACAGGACAAAAAGTCAGCCGGGACACGGCGTACGACAAAAATACATAAAGCAATAACAACTTTCTATTTCTGTGCTTTGCTTGGACTCAAAAGAAGCTTCTAGCATTATGTAACAAATGTCTACCTAATTATATTAATTATAAAAGATAAATACCAAACAGTAGATAATAACTACATAACACTTACAGAAATGAATGTGTTTTTTGTACAGGCTGGATTATTAGTAAAAAGTCTTACTTTTGGAGAGCTCATCAACTACTTAATGACAGAAGGGTTCTTTATGTTATGAGGAAGAAAATAAAACTAGCTTTATTAATAAAACTGTGTACAATAAGAGCTATCTCAAGCATCATCACTTGTCTAACCTGGATTTAAATATAAACAAATTAAAATCAACAATCTTTGCAAATGTAATGTAATCGCAGCAATTTTAAAACACATTTGTACACTAAAGGTGAAACGAAAAAATATAATAGACTCTGGTGCAATAGATAGAATCATTCCATGCAAAGACATATATTTCAGCCTTCATTTGTGTTGACTGTGATGGTTATGCTTCCAGCTTACGAAACCCCGCTTTCAAACTAGAATATTGTGAAAAGGTTTAATATTCTAGACTTAAAGTGTCACACTCTAATTAGCTAGTGAATCCAGAACAACTGCAAAGGGTTCCTGAGCCTTTAGATGGTCTCACAGTCTAAGATGGATTACTGACATAAATTGACTTTTGTACCTTGTTCTTATTTTTCCAGTTTCACTTGTGAACAAAAGACCTGTGACTTCACTGCTGTCTCACTGGACCAAATCACTATGCAATAGCAACCAACAACATGACTGACCTCTGCAATGGGCACCAGAAACCTCTTGAATCATCTTAAAATCAAAATTAAATTTCTAAAATCCCTTTTATTTTATTTCAACATATTAATATGACAACAAGTTAGACTTAAAATAACAATTAAGATTAGATATGTAGTAATTCCTCAGGATAATTGCTTTTAAAATGTATCAGCATTAGCTTCTTATTTATAGACGAATGTGTGATGAGGATAAATTTAAATATGAAGCATTCAATTTTTGGATCAACGAAGGACGAAGTAGACATGTAATAAAAAGTGAGATTGAAATGTTTATTATTTTCATTTAAATCAGCCATATAGTACTAAACACACACACACACACACACACACACACACACACACACACAGGGTTATAATGTTTTAAAAACAAATGCTGTAATAATATTTTTATTAAATAACTTCACTGCAGAAGTTTTTTTAAACAGAAAAATTTGGATTATTTTAATTAGTTTGAAATATTAAAAGTTTTTCTAAAAAATAAATCAAATGTATTCTTATTGAAAACTTAAAAAAATTAAGAGAATGTTTTAGAAAAAGGTGGAATTTTGGGGGAAAAATAAATTTCTGCACATAGTCGAGTTTAATTTGATAGAACCTGTTTCATTGCACCAGTCCAAAAAATTATTTTCCATTTCATTTAGGAAATGAAATACAAATAAAAAATATGCACATGTAGCTCTAATATTAAACAATACACCTAAGGAAATCCCAAAATGAATTTTTAAATATAACCGTTTTTCACAAGTTCAAGGGCACATTCAAGTTCAAGTGTCATTTTTGTGTTTCTTTTAAATTTCGACCCCTCTGCCAGCCTGTCTTATCCTGTGAATTTATCACATCATTTGAATCATTTGAAAACAAAAACGACTTTAGTTTGTTAAATAATCATATCAGTTTTGATCCATTTAGCCAGAATGAAACCAAATAAACGCCCCTCTGAAAAAAAGATCACACCAACATCAGAAAATATGAAAACTATGTTTACTGCTGATAAAATTTGCCGTTTGAAAATAAAACAAAGAAAAATCCATGTGCAAATATGCAATTTATCGTTAACATGTGTGTGTTTAGCTTCACCGCCTAGCTTCGGCTAGCCGAAGTTAGGTTTCGTGTAAAGAATGTTGCCAGTCGTCGGCTGTGCGACCGCTCAGGTGCACTCTGACAAGAAAGGAAAGGCAGGAACGCCTTTACCATCCTGCCATCTGCCTCTCGACACGAACCCTGGGCTGGAATCTGGCCATCCACTTCCAGAAAGGCCTGAGGGGTGGAGCACAGCAAAGCAGCCATGTGTCCTTAGCTTCTGCAGCTCATGCTGCACGCGAGCACAAACGCAGGTTCATATAAAAATCTAAACCCAAATCTTGAATTTAGCAGCAGTGATAGGAGTTCGAAGCTGGCCTTCAGAATGAAACATCAAATACCAAAATCAAATACCTGGAAAAACACATAAAAGTGATGGTTTCACCGCTGCAGTTCCACTGCTAAGTCATATTTGTTGGTGATTGAAGATGATTTTATTCTTACATGAAAATGTTTTGTTTCCAGCAGAGTAGACAGATTCAGTTTCACAGCAGTTTCTGTCCACCTACAGTAAAACTAGAAAGTTCAGCAGGTTTATCCATTCACACACACACACACACACACACACACGCACGCACGCGCTTGTGCAAGCACACACACACACATGCACGCACACACACACACACACACACACGCACGCACGCGCTTGCGCAAGCACACACACACACACACGCACACACACATGCACGCACGTGCGCGAGCACACACACACACACTCGCGCACGCACGCTCGTGCACACACACAGAGACACACACGCACGCACGCGCACACACACACGTGTGATGATGTTAAAATAATGCGTATATGGCAACACAAATAAAATATGTTTATTTTCTTCTGCTTTGACTAAATTAAAATTAAAACGAGCTGCAAAATCTCAAATTCAAAAAGTGCCAAATAACAAAATTCATTCATTTAAAATTCAAGTACAGGTCAAAACGATCAACATTTTGCATTTTATTTCTAAAAGTTATATTTAATTTTAATGCATCGCATCAGTTTAATAAAATCCCTTCACACTTCTGAACCTTGAACTTTGTAACGCTTGTTCTTCGAGCATCACCAAAACCATAAAAAAGTTTTTCATAAAAGGAAAATAAATATTAAAAGCAAATGCAGATGCTCAGGCTTGTGCGGTGTTTGCTGCTGTGTGTTTAGGCTCGGGAGTATAAATGTGCACAAATGTAAAAACAAACTTTAAATTACAGAAAGTACAGGAAAAGTTTCCTTTTGGGGATTTTCTTGAACGCTGTGATCCTAAAACATAAACGCAGCAACGACGGAAACCATGCATTAAAACACATT